GTGGAAATGCTTCTGATTTGCTGCTTTCACAGCGGCTAAGTTTGCATTAACCCCCAAGGAATTGAGCACTGTAGTAAATATCGAAGGCTGCCATGAAATTTCATTGACAATAAAAAAACCACCCAATGAACAGCCTAACCATGAAGAAAAAGAAAGCAAAAGAGAGAGAGATCACTGGAACTCAACAAACTGAGCACAATATAAATAAACAATAAACAGATGGAAAACATCAACACAATAGTAATCTCAACATTAGTCTGCTAGCATCAATTACATACTAGCTGGCGGCTGCAAAGTTTTCTGTGCAAATGAATCCATATGACACTTCGAGTCGATGACAGCAAGGAAGCTATGAGTCGATGTGAACTTCTTGTTCGTACATGATTGTGGGAGAAGGAGAGACTAGAAAGAGCCAAATGCAATGCCAAGATGATTTGATGACATTGGTCTAACTAAAAAAATGGACTGATTATAAGGAAAACACCAAACAAACAGACAAGAAAGGTCCATGACAACAACTGGCCACAGAACAAAACTCATTTCAACTTGATTTGATTAAAGTCCCTTCTGGCAGCTAACAAATACATATCTGGCAACATCGAATGAAATACTATTCATTTAACAAAATTGAGGCCTAAGTAATTCGTTTTACATCTGGAAAGCCATAAATAAGTACAACGAACCTTGTCCAGTGATGACAGAAAAGCACCTCCATCTAATTTTTATCTGCTCTTGCTGTACAATTTAGCATGTACATTTTTCCTCTATGAATGCACTATGTTAGATGTATGATTTCCGACGAGAAAGGGCAGAGCAATGTCCTGTCTCTTAATTAATTTGATTATGATTTGCAGGATGCTATTTAAGGCATTCAAAATCAGCTAAGACAATCGTCAGCTAAATGTCCAGCTACACATTCCCCTTGGAGAATAATTGGTTTAGCCAATTCGAAAGTTCACTACCGCTATGTGAAACAAGATATACAATAAATGCAACATATGCTGCTGTTCCAGCACAAACAAGGAAACCAAAAAGCAGCCCGTTAACTTCCGACAGAAAAAAGTCTAGCAAAAGATACCCATTAATCACCATCACCAGGCCAGCCACTGTCCATGCAATTCTCTGCATTACAGATTAACATTAGTACGATAACATAGCAATAATAGATCCTTGTTTACACCCTCAAAATAGAAGATATCGATCTGTTTCGATCGCTCAAAATCCCGAGGTTCCCAACAAGTCATATGTAGCAAACTATAATAAAATGGAACTAGACTCTACTGGTTAGCTAATAGTTGTAGAGAAAACAGGTAAAGGTAATCTAGAGTTCCAGAATAGGGAGCAATGAATTGCTTTACAAGGAATGACCATTAGAGATGTGTTTGTTATTCTTAGTTTCTTGTGCCAAAGAATCACAAAAATACTAACAGACATTTTGTTTAGGCAGGCAACACCAGAAATAACTAGATTTCTAGTATTTTATTTATCAATGCGAATCCTACATGATTTGCATGCAAGCTGTATATAACTTGCTATAAAAACAATTGTTCCCACGCCCCCCCCCCCCCCCCCCCCCCCCCCCCCC